TAGGGAGGATGAGGAGCAAGTGGGAGAACACGGGTGAGAGGCCGCGGGGCTGACTCTGACTGCCGCTCCTGATCTTAATCGACCATTGGTCCATCCCTCCTTCTCCTTGCGGGGCAAAAGGTACACCTTTTTCGTTCCACCGTGCGCTTCTGTCTCCCCCCCATGCCTGCACCATTGCCTTTCCATTTGTCTACGCCTTGTCTCGCTCTCTCTTTCTCTCTCTCTCTCTCTTTCTCCTGCCCACTGTCTTGTCCCCCCCCGCTGGCTCTCTTTCTCCATATCTCTCTTATCACTCTCTCTCTCTCGCGCTTTCATCTCTCTGTTCTCTTTCGTTTGTCTTGTTCTCTCTCTCTCTTTCTTTCTGTCTCTCTCGTTCTCTCTCTTTGTTGTTGCTATCTCTTTTTCTTCCCCCTTTTTAGATTCGTATGTTGTTTGATTTCTCTCTCTCTCTCTTTCTCTCTCTGGCTCTATCTCTCTACCCTGGGCCCGCGTCTTCGGGAGGAGGAGGAGGAGGAGGAGGAGGAGGAGGAGGAGGAGGAGGAGTGGGGGAAGGAGGAGGAAGGAGGAGCGGGAGGAGCGCGGTAAGGAGGAGGAGGAGGAGAGGGAGGAGGAGGAGGAGGCAGGAGGGAGGAGGAGGAGGGAGGAGGAGGAGGAGGAGGAGGTGGAGGAGGAGGAGGAGAGAGAGGAGAGGAGGAGGAAGGAGGAGGAGGAGGAGGAGGAGGAGGAGTAGGGAGGAGAGGAGGAGGAGAGGGAGGAGGAGGAGGAGGAGGAGGAGAAGGAGGAGGAGGAGGAGGAGGAGGAGGAGGAGGAGGAGGAGGAGGAGGAGGGCCCTCGCCCCTCGCTCCGCTGGAGGCCTCCCAGAGGGGGGCCCGAGCCGATGGCGTCAGAGGCTCGCGCGCCACGTCGCCGACGCAACGGCGACGGCGGCACGGAGAAGAGCGGTCTCCAGGTCGCGCCGCAGCGAGCCTCGACCCTCGATCCTGGACGAGAACAGGCGGCGCAACCCGGATCAACTCTGGCGAGTCCGCGCAGACTTCTCGGGTCCGCGCTGGACCCCCAGTGGGGAGGCCAGGAGGTGCCGATACCGCTACTCCCTGGACCTCTTCTGGGGTACGTTCTGACCGGAACTTCGAGGCGAATCCAGCCGTGGCGACGAGGGCCTCACAAGAGGCCCCCCGAAAGGAAAACGAGGTGAGGGTAGAGGTATCGGCACCTTTTCCTTCAGCGACCCATGTGCCGCGCGGGTTCCATCGCAGACCCGATCCAGGAAAGCTCTTGTGCCCGTGCACTTTTCCCTCTCCGAGGGCTGGCGACCCCCCCATTCATTCATCGCACGCCAGGAGGCACAAAAAGGGGAAAACGAGGGAAAGGTAGCGGTATCGGTACAGCCGGCCCATATCATAAGGATGCGCGATAAGGATGCAAGGGCCTTGGACGCCCATTCAGAAGCTGCTCGAGCGGGGCGCGGCCAACGAAAGTGGCCAAGAATGGACCGAGGAGGCAAGGATGCAAGGGTACCCGTGGGAAGGTTGCCTATCCTTCTGTGCTGGTTGACTGTATCTTCTCCTCCTCTGACTTTTGTCGTCACCCCCTTGTTCCTTCTCCTAGAGGCCTCCTAGATGGGGTCCGAGTAGATGGGGGTGAAGGATCGCGCCGCATCGCCAATGCATCGTCGACGTGGGCGATGCATCGGCGACGCATCGGCGATGCGGCGCGATCGTCCAACCCCATCCCCTCCTCCTCCTCCTCATCCCCCCTCCATACCCCCATCACCGCCCTCCTAACTCCCCTCCTCCCTCCTCTTCCCCTCCCTCCTCCCTCCTCCCTCCTCCCCCTCCTTCCTCGCCCTCCCCCCTCCCCTCCTCCTCCAACCCCTCCTCCCCGACCTCCTCCTCCCCCCCCTCCCCCCCCCCCTCCTTCTTCTCCTCTTCCTTCTACCTCTCCTCCTCCCTCCTCCTTCCTCCTCCCTCCTACTCCCTCCTCCTTTCCTCCATCCTTTTCTTCTCCTCCTCCTCCCGTCCATCCTCCCTCCTCCTACTCCTCCTACACTCCTCCTTCCTCCTACATCGCTTCCTCCTCCCCTCTGCTTCTCCTCGCTCCTCCTCCTCCTCCCTCGCTCCTTCCTCTCGCTCATCCTCGCCCCCTCCGCCTCCTCCTCACCCCTCCTTCCTCCCTCTCCCACCTCCTCCTCCTCCTCCTCTCCTCCTCCTCCCTCCGCTCACTCGCCCTCTCCCTCTCCCTCCTCCCTCTCCCTCCTCCCTCATCCTCCCCCTCTCCTCCTCCTCCTCCTCCTCCTCCTCCTCCTCCTCCTCCTCCTCCTCCCTCCTCTCCTCCTCCTCCTCCCCTCTCCTCCTCCTCCTCATCTCCTCCTCCTCCTTCCTCCTACCTCCTCTCCTCCTCCTCCTCCTCCTCCTCCTCCTCCTCCGCCTCCGCCTCCTCCTCCTCCTCTCCTCCTCCTCCTCCTCCTCCTCCTCCTCCCCTCTCCTCCTCCTACTCCTCTCCTCCTCCTCCTCTCCTCTCCCTCCTCCTCCTCCTCCTCCTCCTCCTCTCCCTCTCCTCCCTCCTCCTCCCTCCTCCTCCCTCTCCTTCTCCCTCCTCCTCCTCCTCCTCTCCTCCTCCTCCTCCTCCTACCTCCTCCTCCTCCTCCCTCTCTCCTCCTCCTCGGACCCCGTCTGGGAGGCTCAAATCTCCGAGGGCCGGCGAGCTAGCGGCGGGACCGCCGCCGGGCAGGGGCGCCGCGGCCTCGGCGGGCGCGCGCGAGGGTCGCGCGCAAGGCGCGCGCGGCGCACGCGGCGGCGGGCGAGCGGGGGCCGCTCGAGGGGGTTCCAAGATTCGGCGGCGTGCGGCGGCGGCGGCGGCGGCGGCGGCGGCGGAGGAGGAGGAGGAGGAGGAGGAGGAGGAGGAGGAGGAGGAGGGAGGAGCAGGGAGGAGGAAGCAGGAGGAGGAGAGAGGAGGAGGAGGAGGAGGAGGAGGAGGAGGAGGAGGAGGGGAGAGGAGGAGGAGGAGGAGGAGGAGGAGAGAGGGAGAGGAGGGAGGAGGGAGGAGGGGAGGGAGGAGGAGGAGGAGGAGGAGGAGGAGGAGGAGAATGATGATGATGATGATGATGATGATGCTGATGATGATGGTGATGATGATGCTGATGCTGATGCTAATGCTGATGATGACGCTGATGATGCTGATGATGATGATTATGATGAGGATTTTTTCCTCGACATCAGGGCTAAGAGTATAATATATCGTGATATCGTCTGAAATGAAAAATGTTTGGAAGCCCGTCGCAGAGAGCGGATCGCTCTCGGTAGACCCACGCGGGGCAAGCGCGAAGGGGTGCTGCTACAGAGAGCACGACATGCCCAACGTGCTGTGTAAAACAGGATCGTCAAAGATGGAGGAGTGCAGATAGGGCGCCAGAGCCAAGGATTAAGTGCCTATTACAGCATGCCATCAACTGGACTAGGTCACGCTCGCACAGGAATGCAAGAGGCCTCTCTTTCCCAGCACCTTCAGAGGATGTCTGGCCCCCCTGTTGAGAGACTCCATTGTCATTGATATGATGTCCATCAGGTGCCTGGCGGCTCCCGCGAAGATCGTCGAGGTCGCGGATGTGCTCGAGAGCCAACCCGTTCACAGCCATCAGCGCGCCGACCTGATCCCAGAATGGGTGAGAGACGGTGGTGTCGTACGCGCGCTCGACGGCCAAGATTACGATCTCCTCGCTGGTGCCGGTGTGGCGGGTCATCTCGGTGGCGATGGCCTGGCTAATGGTGTCGCGGATGACAGCAGGGATGAACTCATCGCTGGAGTCGGTCATGGAGGGCGCATCCGTGCCAGCGTAACGTGTGTGAACGATCTCGCGCTCCTTCGGACAGCTGCTCTCGTCCCTGGACGTCGGGGTGTTGTGGCACATCAGCTCCTCGTCCATGTCATCTGGGCCCTCATACGTGTAGTCCATTCGCTCCTCCGCGAGATCGGTGCGGTTGGTCGACTCCTCGTGCGCGCCGAGCTTGAGGCGCTGGCCGTACTGCTCATAGAAATGCTCGTAGTCTTCCTGCTGCGCGGTGATCTCCTTGAGCATGCCCAGGCACTGCATGACGAGGTTCTTTCGGATCGCACGCATGATCCTGTTCTGCTGCGGAGTCTGGCAATGGATGTTCCGCGGCATAATGTCGGAGTCCACTACGCCCTTCACAAAGTGGAGCCACTCAGGCAAGATCGTGTGCACATCCGTGAAGAACACATGGCGATCGTACGGCTTGATGGTGTTGCGCTTCTTCGTGGTCTCCTTCGGGTCGAAAGAGGCTCGCCAGGGCACGAAGAGCACAGCGTGGAACTCGATCAGGCCCTCGGTGCTAAAGTGCTTCACGGCCAGGGGATTCTCCCAGTCGTTGAACACGTGCTTGTAGAAGGCGGCGTACTCCTCTTTGGTAACGTTCTCAGGCGTGCATTTCCACAGCGGCTTGTTGATGTTGATCTGCTTCCGCTCATGCGCGACCTCCAGGCCAGGCGGGTGGCCTATGGTAGCGCCGTGGTGAATGTGCCGACGACGGACGCGGTGTCGATGCGCCTGGGCGCGCGAGCGCCTCTCCCCGGCCAGGGGGGCGCCACAGCGCGTCGGGCTCGGCTCCATCTGGAGCACCGCCGAAGAGCGCTCAGCCCCGCGTGGACGCCATCGCAGGGAGCTCTCTGCAAATGCCTAAGTATGGGGGGGCGCGTCTCAGAAAGGCAGGATGAGGATGATGATGATGATGAGGAGATGAGGAGGAGGAGGATTACCGGCGCGCAGAGGGGGGTAGGGTTCGGCGGACGAGGTTGCCGGGCGGACGTCGCTGAGGATGGGCCGAAGGGGCAAGGATGCAAGGGTAGCCTGGGGAAGGTTGCCCATCCTTGCTGTGCGGGTCAACGTAGGTGGAGGGGGGAAGGCTTCTTAGAAGGACGCTGCTTCGTAGAAGCCGCTGGCCTTGCATCTGCAGAGAAGGCCCGCGCAGTCTAAGGAGCAGGGGCGCGTCTGAGAGGCCTTCCCCCCTCCCCGATACCTCCCTCTGCGAGTGGCCGAAAGATGGGGTCCTGAACGATGGGGTCCGAAGGACGAGGTGCCTCAAACAAGTAAAATCCACCCTTGGACCCCTTCCTATCCGTAGGTCCCCATCCCTCAGGACCCCACCTTTGAACCACACTGGTAAGGAGCGGGCAGAAGAGGGTGGTCTGCTAAGACGAATCCAGAGCGCGGACAACTGCGGATGAGGCTACCTCGAGAATCTCTGGGATCCCGCGGCTCTGGAGGGTGTCTTGGGTGCCGCGGCCTTCTGAGAGCGCTCCAGAACGCCTCTGAGAGCGTTCCGGAGCGCTCTGGAACGCATGTATCCTCGTCCTAGCCCCGGCCGATTCGCGAATCGGCGATCCGACGCGAACCGAGTATGTTGAAGGCACCCTGGGACACACAAATAAATACACAAATAAAATGATTCCCCATATTTTCCTATATTTTCTGGGGTTTTGTCTTCCCCCCCACTTCCAATATTTTCCCTTATTTTCTTGGGAATCGACGATTAATTGTGTCTGTGTGTTTCTTTCCCTCCTGATATGTGAGTTTCCTGGCTCGGACCTCGCGCAACCTTCAGTGCTCAGCACCAGGAGCATCCGCTGCTCGGCGCCAGGATCAGCGCCAGCCGCTCCTGGGAGAGGGGTTGCGCGCTGGCAGGGGCCTCCGGCTTACACCTGGCAGCTCGTGGGAGAACGAGGATGAAGGGGCCCCAGGACACACAAATAAATACACAAAAAAAAAGATTCCCCATACTTTGTCGTATTTTCTGGGTTTTTTGTCTCCCCCCCACTTCCAATATTTTCCCATATTTTCTGGGGAATCGAGGATTAATTGTGTCTGTGTGTTTCTTTTCCTCCTGAGAGGATCAGGAATGAGAAGATATGAGGAAATGGTGACGAGGAGGAGGGCGCGAACATTAGCGTTGCCTATTGCAGGGGAGGAATAGAAAGGAAAAAGAGGAGGAGATCCAGAACACACGGGGAAGGATCACGGGATGGGGGGCAGATGAGGAGTACTAGCAGGAGGAGGAAGAACGGGATGAGGCTGTGGAGGGAAGAGGAGGGGGAGCAGGAGTAAGGGGATGAGGGAAAAGAGGAAGAGAAGGAAGGAGATGAGGAAGATGAAGAGGAGGAGGAGGAGGAGGAGGAGGAGGAGGAGGAGGAGGAGGAGGAGGGGGAGGAGAGGAGGAGGAGGAGGAGGAGGAGGAGGAGAGGAGAGGAGGAGGAGGAGGAGGGGGAGGAGGACGACGACAACGACGGCGACGCCGTGGCGCCGCTGCATCTTCTCCTGCTCTCTCCCAAGGAGAGCCTGTCGCCTCACACTGCGCCTGCTCGTCCCGGGGGGACGGCCCCACACGCGGGGCTAGGCTTAGGTCGGGCAGGTCCCCCTGCAGGCGGACTCTGGAAGAAGGATGAGCAAATAGTCAAACCACACTCCAAACTAGCCAAACAAATTGTAGAACTTTCGTGCCCAGACTGTGTTTTCGACTGGCTTCGAATCTTCCTCCTGTAGAGGGACATGCCCGCCTTAGGGCTAGGAAGTGGCGCCGCGGCGCCGACAAATATCAAACAAGTCACATGCCTCGAAACGGGGGGGAGCGGAAGAGCCTGACGGTCGATTCGCTCCTCCTGTCGTTCACTCCCGGTCGGGGGGTCATCCCAGAAAGGGGGTTCGCACACCAGGGCCCGAGGCACATGCGCGGACGAGGAGGGAACAGGAAAAGCTTGGACACAATGAGAGAGCGAACCATGAGATCTGGGGCGATATCATTGCCGCGGCCATGGTATGGTTTCCTCCGCGCTAATCATCAACCCCCTTTTGGACGGCCCCGACCGTCGTCACCTCTTCCTCGCCGCCTCGCGAATGGCGGGGCGGCCAGCTGCAACCGTCGCGCTACCATAATACTGACATCCTCGCGCCGTGAAGAAAATACGACGGGCGTCCGCCGTGATTTTTGATTCATGACTCGAGGAGGGGGGGAGGGGGAGGAGGAGGAGGAGGAGGAGGAAGGGGAGGATCAGGAGGTCGACCAAGGCGGAAAACCTTCCGCCCTGAATTTTGTTTCGTGGCTCAAGTGGGAGGAGGGAGAGGAGGGGGAGGAGGAGGAGGAGGAGGAGGAGGAGGAGGAGGAGGAGGAGGAGGAGGAGGAGGGAGGAGGAGGAGGAGGGAGGAGGAGGAGGAGGAGGAGGAGGAGGAAGGGGAGGAGGAGGAACAAGGGGAGGAGGAGGAAGAAGAGGAGGAGGAGGAGGAGAGGGATGAGGAACCCTTTGGAACCCTTTGCTCGCGGACACTCGTCCTACACTCCATCGTGCTTCCAATCATCAGCTGTCAGTCCGAAGCGTCTGAATCCTCCTGCGTGGCCCGTTGGTCTAAAATCTGCGGTCCTCTCGCCGCCGCCAACAATCTCTGAATATTCGCTTGGGTCCGAAGCTCCTTGGCAACCTGACGCAACTGCTCACGATCTTGCCCGTCATTGCGGGCACGGGCCACGACAACAGGCTCGGCGGGGGCCCCCTCTGGCTCTGGCTGCGCACTCCCCCTGGTCTCGTGGGCCGACACGACGATCATCTCTCTGAGCCATGGCCATCTTGATGGCTCTTGGGGGGCCTTCCCGCCGAGGAAACAAACCGAGATCAATTTTTCGCAGATTCTCGACCCCGTTCGGGGTGAGACCGTCGTCGCATGTTTTTTTTTGCAGGTGCCTCGAGTCCACCGTTGCATACCTCCCGCACAGCGAGCAAATCTGAAGGAACCAATGATCAACAAACGTGATCGAGTGAGACGGGTGGATCTCGAGGTCAACTCCATTCATTGGTTTGAACTCTGGTGCCCCTAGGCTGCTTTTTTCCAGGAAGGGGGGGGGGGGAGGGCAAGCGGGGAAGCCGAGAAACGCAAACATTTCTGGACCCTGGGACAATCAGTTCACACTGCGAGCTTCTCCACTTGCTACCTACTTTCTCGAGCTGGTGAGACGAGGCTTTTATACTTCTCTCCTGCTTAGAGAGCTACTGCTGGGGCTCTGCTGGCTCGCTCTCCCGTCTCAGCCGAGGCGGCCAAAGCGAGCGCTCGTCTAGCTCTATTGCGCTATTGAATCGATTCTGTCCATATCAGGGTTCTCCCCCACCAGCCCGTGCTCCCACGCCAACTCCGCCCCGACTCCCGCCCAGCGATCAGCAGCAACATTCCCAGCAGCTAGGAACTCCTGCTCAGGAGTGTTCAGCAGCTCCGGGGTCCCATCTAAATGTGAGGCCGTCCACGCTACATTAATTTCTAGATCTGGGTGAACCTGCCAAGCGACTCTAGCGCGGGTCCAAAGGTCCTCATTGGGACCCGTGGCTTTCGGATGCTCGAAGCAGATTATCAAAGTTTTTTTTTTTTTTTTTTTTTTTTTTTTGCGACCGTCCGATGGTCGGCGAAAGAAGTAAAATCAGAGAGGCACTCGCCAAGCGCCACTGCAAAAACTACCATATCCGATCGGGGATCCGTTTGCCGACTACCTGTGAGAGGTACAGCGAGGGCGCGACTGACCTCCCACTCTCCTCCATGCAAGTTGATGGTTGTTATTCCTGCTCCACATCGGCGGCGACGAGGGTCCGACGAAAATCTGCCCCCTGGGCCGTCGCCAAAGATGTGGACCACGCCGATAAACCTGCACTCCTCCCAGCCCCCCAAATCCGCCGATCCGGCGTGTGAGTTTCAAGGAGTCTCAGCTATAGCCTCGAGGCTGAGCCTCAGCCTCTGGGGGGGTTGCCGGGGTGGCTCTGCCGGGGAAGGGGGGGTGGGGTGGGGGGGCGAGTTTCCGGCGGATGCGTTTTTTGACACCCCTCACAAGGATCGTGGCCTCCGAGGGGGTTCCGAACTCGAGTGCCACCCCTCCCGCACAAAGGGGCTCCGAGGAGGCCTCCAAGAGGCCCCGAGGGGCGCAGAAGAGGCCCCCAAGAAGCCCCAAGAGGCTCCCAAGAGACCCCCAAGAGGCCCTTTAGTGGCCCCAAGAGGCCCCCAAGAAGCCCCAAGAGGCGCCCAAGCGGCCCCCAGAAGTCCCAGCCAACCACGAGATCCCAACCAGCATCCATGAGGCCTCTGACCCACCATCCACGCACGGTGGCGGGATAGGCCGACGGCCACTGCATAAATGCTGAGTGAGGGGAGGGGAGGGAAAAAGAGAGGAGGGACGAGGGCGAAGAAGGATCACATCAGTCGGAGCGCCCCGGATCGGCGGCACTGGCCGAAGGCAACTACAATCACCAAACCGAACCCCCCTCCCCTCGAGTTACTCATCATTGAAAACAGGATGGGTGGCGGGCAACAAAGACTTAAC